CTGAAGCCAGGTGGCTCCTAAGAAATCCCTCGGAGGGTTTGTGTGTGGATAGAGTCCCCTGGGCACTGGCAGAAGGGGTCTGGGGGAGGGAGGGCAGGGTCGGCCACGCTTTGTGGGGTGGGATGGGAGGAGTGGTGGGCGTCAGGCTGCGCTGGTGGAGGTGGGGATGGGATGCAATGGGAACGGCTCTGCGCTGGTAAAACAAAATCCTGCTGCCTCCTGGCACGGAGAGAAGGCGTGCTGCGTGGGGTTCAAAGGCAGCAGGTGCTCCTTTTGTTCTTTTGTTCTGCAAGCATCCTGAATCCAGAGCCAGCGAGGGTGGCAGGCTCCAGTGAAGCCGTGCCGTATTCCAGCTGCCTCTCCTGTGCAACCTGTCCGCAGCTGCCATCGCCCTTTCTGCCGTCACTCTTGAGGAAGGAACTGCTTTGCTTGTCAGCCGACAGTTTCCCTCCCTTTATACCATTCTGATGTTCTCCTTGCAGGGGTGTGAACACTTTTTCGCCAGAGGGGAGGCTGTTCCAAGTGGAGTATGCCATCGAGGCCATAAAGGTACCGTCAGCTCCAGCTGGTTGCCAATCTGGGGCATTAAGGGCCCTCTCAAACCCAGGTTGTGTCCGCTGGGGCTCCGGCTGTGCTCTGCAGCGAGGCGGGGTTTGGCCGGCTCCCAGGGCGGTACGCAACGCCGAGCGGGAGTTGCTGCCTTTCCTTGTAGGCGCTGCTCCTGCCTGCAGCTGCCCTGGCAGCTCTTGGGCAGCCTTTCGCCTCCGGTTTGGAGTAGGAGAGGCGTGTGCCAGTGTTTGATTCCTTCCGTCCAGCCCAGCCTCCCGCAGCTCTGCTCTTTTATGGGTCGTGAGGAATCAAAAGCCATTGATTTACCCCAAATCCAGGGGAATGTTCCCCTCCCTGTCTCCTCCCAACCAATTTACCCCCGAACCAAACAATCTGGAGATGCCAAGACCCAGATCAAACCTACTCAGAGATAATGCAGAAGCGAGAGGTTCTGAAGGCCGGGACTCTGCCTGCAGGAGTTCCCGCTGCCAGCGCCTCGGGCACCTCGCATCCGTAAACGTTTGTGTGCGGGCAGAGGAGCGCTCTGCTTTCTCTTTGCCTCCCTGAGCTGATGCTGTGTTCCCTCCTGGTCTGTCCACACTTTATCAAGAGGGATTCCTTTAAAAAAAACCCCAAAATGGCAACTTTTCTCCCACAGGGTCAGCTTTCCTTTCCTTAGCTCACTGCCGTTGCAGCTTGGAGGGGGTCACCATTTGCTCAGGTGAATTTTAAAACCTGAAGGTCAAGGTTCTTCTGAGCAAATGTTATGTGTTGTAGGGGTGCAGGAGGAGTGTTGATTTGTGTGCTGGTAGCTTCATGAACAAAAATACATCTGAAATGACATCGGGTGTCCCTTTGTCCTTTGGGGTTTGTGTGCGGCTGCGGGCTTAAAGGAGGAGAGTGCTGGGCAATGTCTGAAACCAGAAGGGTCCGCGGTGAGGAATTCCCCTCTGCCCGGCCTGTGCTTGCAGGTGTAGCTGCCTGGGGAATCTTGCTGCTAAAATTACACCTTAGAGCCTGACTCGGATATTCGGAGTCAGCATCTCCGCACCGCGGCTGGTGCAACTGTTCTGGTGAATTCCCCAGCGTGGAAAAGCTGCAAGTGGGGTGGGGACTGGTGGGAGCCCCTGAGATCTGCCCCCCATTGGCTGTGCCCACGCTGGCATCCGGCAGGATCAGGGTAAATCTTGGTGCAGTGTCGTCTGCGGGTGGTTAACTGCTGCCTGGAAAACAGCATGTGTGCACAGCTCTCGTTCCTGTTGTAGATTTTGTGGATAGAAGGACACTTGGGAGAGAAGGAGCTAGTGGAGGGAAAGGTGCCCGAGCCAGAAGTTCAGATGCAGTGAGAATTAAGGCTGTTATGTGAAATCCTCCTGTCTCGCTTTAAAATTTAATTTCTTCTTGCGAAGGGAGACTCGCCAGGCCTTTTTAGCTCATGAGGCTTTAAGCTGTAGGAAGGGATGTTGCTCAGGGAAGAGATTAATGATTTGGGTTCTGATGAACTCGTCGGCTGGGAAGTAGCACGGGTTCGACTTTCCCAGTTTCCTGGTTCAAGTTATAACATTTAAAATTTGTCGTGCAGGGTCTTGTGGGGGGGTTTCTGCGTTGGTGATGCAATTGTCTCCAAAACAAAACACCTCCAAATAATAGAAGGCAAAATTAGCGTTGTGCTGGTGATATTTCTGCGAGCTGTCGTGGCTCGATCCCGCATCGGGCGCAGCGGTGGTAACTGGGCGATGGTTTTCAGCTTGGTTCCACGGCCATCGGGATCCAGACCTCAGAGGGTGTCTGCCTGGCCGTGGAGAAGAGGATCACTTCCCCGCTCATGGAGCCCAGCAGCATCGAGAAGATCGTCGAAATCGATTCTCACATAGGTAAGGAGAAAGAAGTGAGCTTTGGGTGCTCCTCTAGGAGACCCCTGGGAGCATCCCTCAAGTTTTGGAGATGGAGATAAGACGCCTCTGTCCCCTGGGAGTTGCAGAAGCAGCATTTCAGCTCCAGCCTTCCCCGCAGGCAGCTCTGCTGAGCCCAGCGGGACTGCTCATCCCTCCCAGTAAACACCAGGTCCTGGTCACTGGTTTTCCAGGCTCCAGGCCAGCAGGACATAGTTACAGGAGCAGGAAGAGGCAGCTGAAGCACCCCCCTCATCTCGATGACCTCCCTCATGAAAGCTCATCCCAAATTTAGATCGGGGAGGCCAGGGAATGACTGCAAAAGGCTTGACGCGAGGCCAGGTTCTCTGGGAGCACTAATGTTAGTCCGTACCCCTGCTCGCAGCGGCTCCGGCAGCATGAGGGGCCCGCGCCGGGTTCATGACCAAATATGTCGCCTCGAAAAGCAGGAGACCTCCAAAATACCCACATTGTGATGACATGGGGCATGGAAGGACCTCTTGAAGAGTCTAGTTTCCTCCTCCCGTGTGCTTGCGGTACAGCCCTGCTCTTCCTGGAGCAGGATTGGTGCTGGAGGCTCCTGCTGCATCCCCCCAGCCCTCCCCGTGGAGGGGGTGAAGGAGTTCCCCTTCCCCGCGGGTTGTGTTCCTGGTGGTTTCTCTTGGAAGGCCTCAAATGCGGCTCCTTGAACCAGTTCAGATTTGAGGAGGGTGGGATGTGTGACTGGGAGAACTGGGTGATGTACCTGCCCTTCAGCTGGGCGTCCATCCTTCCTCTGGAGTAAATCCATCTGGATCCCATCCTCCTTCCCTTCCCGCCAGCTGCGGGGTAGGGCAGGGCTGTGTGCTCCCCCACAGGGACCTGCTCCACCCCGCAGCCTTTTGTGTGTCACCCTGGGCTTTGGGAAGGCTGGGGGAAGAGCGCAGCACAAATAACGGGTGAAATGACTCGTGTTCTCACTGTCTGATTCCAGGGTGTGCCATGAGCGGCTTAATAGCTGATGCAAAGACTTTAATCGATAAAGCGAGAGTGGAGACTCAGGTAAGACTTGACATTTCTCTTCTTAAAACAACAGCACTCATCTCAGGGGCATCTCTAACTAAGGAACTGAGGAAGTGCAATCTGGATGAT